TAAAGATAATCGGAATTGTAAAAGGTTTGCCTTTGTGTACATTCACAATAAAAACAAATCTTTGTGCTTTTGTAAAATAAGCCTAAAGAAAAATAGGATGCCTAAATAGGATGCCGCTTTCTGCCGTCTGTTTCCTTTTGTGCAGCACAAAAATGAACCGAAACTCTGCATACTAGGCTACTTGTTGCACAGTTTTTCTTTCGTTTTCTTAATTTACTATTTAAGCAGATGGGTGATGAGGAACTGCAGGGTTTAAGTACAAATATATTTCTGGTATAGGCCTATTTATTATTATTTTATTAATATATTATTACATTATTATTATTTATATATAGCCTAGCTTTATTATGTTTTTCTCCGCTCGCAGAAGCGCTGCAGGTGCGTGATGTGATGCATGTGAATCCTCATGTTCTGTTCCGTTGCTGCATTTTTCGGATGCAAAATTAATCCCCGGGAAACAAATGTTAGTATTTTTAACGGGTCACAGACACTTATCCTTTCTAATTTAATTCAATTCTAATTTAAAATAATCTTGTCGGTTAACGGTTAATAATCGGTTAACGAGCGTCGGTTGTTGGTTAGGAAAAATAACCAAAATGAACATCCCTATTCTGTTCTGTAGGAAACTTACACTGACATATCTTAAAAGAATGTTATTACTGTTGATTTGTCTCAAGATGCACACCAGTATTGTTTTCTCTAAGGCACGTTTATAAAATATATTTAAATGTCCTAACTGAACTATGGCCTAATCCTGGCTTAACCTAAGCCCTGTCTGTGAAACCATGCCTTAATGAACTTCCTTCAAACTTATAACTAATGACTACTCAAAACAGTCCACATTTATAAAAAACAAAATGTTTTTTTTTGTTTTTTTTACAAAACAACATCAAAATTACCCGAGAATGTTTTCAAGACAAATATGTTAATTTTCCGTGCATAAACTTTCACTTTCAGATGAAAAACATGATCTATTCTTTCACGTTGACTTTAAAACCAAAGATGAGTAGAAACAATTATACTGACCAGGTGTTTGCACTTTATCATCCCCTGTCTTCATCTCCTTCACTTCTTCCATCAGCTGTGCAGAGGTAATCACAGACGAGTGTCTCTTGTAGGCTTTTGCACTCTGTATGAAGAATAAACAGATCAGAAATCACAAACTAATATTTCCTTAAAAAAGTCCAGCTTGCAATCTCTGGCCCATCTCACCTCTTTGATATCCAGGAGAGATCTGGAGTGACGGCTGAGTGCTGACTGTGGTGCTGTCGGACTGGTGGGAGACACAGGGCTGAGGGGGACATCAAAGATCATCTGGTGGTGCCTAATGAGCAGGTCCACCATGCGGGCCTGGTGGGGGTAGTCAACCAGAGAGGACAGCGACACTTCTGCCTCCAACTGCCTGGGCTTGATGAGTGTCGGACCGAAGATGATACCCAGGTTACTAGTGGTCATCTTGTTCTCCTCAGCCTGCTCTGACACTCTGTAGAACAATGAACAGTAAAGTGTTTGAGTGATGAATTATATTTCACTCTCACTAAATGCATTTAAGGACATCAAGCAACAAGCAAAGAAAAACAGATCCCAATAACAGATTTCTGCTTCTTTGCTAAATGAGCTTTTAAAACACGCTTTTGTTTACCTGTGCAGATGGGTGATGAGGAACTGCAGGGTTTTGTAGTGGGCCGCAGGAAGCTGGCGAAGGAGGTCTCTGATTTTGAAGAGGACTCTTTTAAGGTCAATACTGAGGCACAGCTGCTCTCCTGGTGATTTCTCTTTAGTCGAGTCAGTCTCGCCCATGTGCTGAGTCTCTTTTGCCAGCCCGATGATATCATTATAATACCGATATAGAATCAATGGCTCTGGCAACTGAAAGACAATTGAATTTGTTTATTTAGACAATGTTAAATCAGCAAAAATGTATTTTTAAAATATATATATTTTTCTAAATGTGAAGAGCAATGAAACCCTATAAAGTGCAACAGTTGGGTTTTGGCAGGAAAAATCTTATTCATTTTCTCCGTAAGGAACTGATTTTTAACTTATAAAACTCTTAAAGACATTGGTGATATAATCTCCCTACATAATCTCACCAAACAGAGAATCACAACAAGCAAATAGCACCAAAAGAACACTTTAGTACCTGTCCACTCCCATGAAGCACTGCAAATGACGGAATAGTAATTTTCCATGCGCTGTCAAACTACTTAAATATTAGCGTACATATAGATTTTGCAATACATGTCAAATTTTGAATGAAAATACAGTTATTCATTCTTTGTTCATGTTAGTTCACAGTGCATTAACTAATGTTAACAAATACAACTTTTGATTTTAATTATGTATTAGTAAATGTTGAAAGTTCAGTAACTGCTGTAGAAGTATTGTTCATGCTTAGATCATGTTAACTAATACAGTTAACTAATGAACCTTATTGTAAAGTGTTACCTCAACATCTTTAAATCAGTAGTTTTATATTTATCCATTGTTTTGATTATGCCGTTCGCAATGCTTCATGGGATTGTTAAAGCTGTTAAGTACACACCTTTGTCTAATATATACGATTTTCAAAAACATTTTTTGCTTCAAATCAAAGTTTGCAATGTTGTGATTCACCTCGTAGCTGGTTGCTTTGGTTCATGGCTTATAACTCTATAACAAAGAAAGAATTACTATTTGAAAAATACTGAAACCAAAAAGCGGGCGGACACAGTTGCACTCTATTATGTCAAGTTTCATACAGACATGATGAAACTGGGATTATTTGTCCCACCACACCTGTCTCAGGTAAAGCTTGAGCACGTTGCTTATGTCATGTGGGTGGAGGTCAGAAAGCTCCACTAAGTCCTTTCCGTTCTCAAAGGCCTGGCACAGCTTTTCCACACGAGACTTCGCCCCATTCACCCGATAAATGCCCTTGAAATGAACCGAAAGCAGGCGTCACTCACAAAATGACTCACAAACATTGAATTAAACAAACTCCTTTCAGCTGAATCTTTATTCTTCACCTTAATGTTCAGGGCACGACTCTCGATTTCTGAGGTGCATTTTTTGATGATGAAGGGGATGCCGTCAGGACTGTTCTTAGCTACTTGGGCGAAGTCAATCCCGAACAGGTGCAGTCTGCCCTGGAGCTTCTTATGACCACACTGAATGGCAAGAGTCTCCAGGCATTTCTTATGACAGGCCAAAGAGCACTATGCAAAAAGAGTTCAGGGAATGATGAACAATTGAACTCTAATGAACAATGTGAACAGAATCAATGTGGGTGTTGATGATGATGACGTACCTCCTCACATTCAGCCCCGTGAAACACCACCAGACCGTCACACTCTCTGCATTTGGAAGGCGCTCGCAGTTTCCGCAACTTGTGAGTTTGTGCTGCTTTTGACATCTGAGCATTACGGAAAGGGCCGGGAGAACTGGCCGCTTCCATCACCATCTCAGCAAGGCCTGAGACAAGAAAAGACATGTGTTTCAATAGCTAAAAACACTCTGCTGGCCCACTAACAAAGTTCCTGTGTGGCCAAAGGATCATCAGGAGTCTTAAATGTGAGTTGGGATAGGAGCTGAAAGAACTTTCATGACTCTGGCTTGCATTCCTATTTAATTAATGATCCTTTTAGTTTACTTTTAAGGAAGCATGACCTTCTCTCCAGTTCCTCAAATGTATTTCCCTACTTTTAACATTAGTTTACATTCAACAATTATTAATGAAATGTAACACTTTTGGTGGAGACAGGAACTGTTAACTGTGACATTTTGCCAATGTTAACATCGAGCCCATCTGCGCAGCTGCACTGAAAGCAAAAATAAGGGTGCAAGCAATTCAGCACTTGCGTAATAAACACAAACCTGTGGTGTCACCACACATCTATGAACACAGACACTCACAATCACTCTATTTAGTTTGTACTACCAACCATTATCTGATGGGGAAGGTGGTTCCCTCTCATCCAGGTCATCTGCAGAAGACATGGTACCAGTTGAGGGGGTTCTGGGAAGCCTGCGTTTGAAATCCCCTGTAACACGAAACACACACATAAACACACATTAGATACTTCCGTCATGCAGAGCACTTCTCCATCCTGTCCACTGAGGACTAGGTCAACCACTTTACAAGCACAATTTACAAACGTGCCTAAACTAGCAATATTTGTAGAGGAACTTCTTTTTTGGATTAAATATGTTGCACTTGACAATTGCACTTGCATGGCTGATGTAACTGTCCAGAGTAAAACATTTAAGGACATCTGACAAAACTGTCACTTGCCTGATTAGGCCAGTGCTGAGCCTGCTGATATTCTCATGCCCTAACAATTTGTTGATCACATACATGTTTTTATGCCTGCTTTTTCTTTGACGTTGTGAACATCGTTGTTTTGCACATTCTGTTAAATTCTGCTGATGTAAATATGTCACAATATCTAGCTGGCTGATGTAGTTGACGTTTTGTGGTTTATTTATGATTTATATCTGTCACAACATCTGTAGAATTTCCAGCAATTACTGCACATTATAAATTATATGTTGTAAATTGTTTAATGAAAAAAAATATATTTTTATTTTTGTTAATGTTGGCAAGGAAATAAAAAAAAATGAAATGCAGCAGTAGTAGTAGTATATTGTTTAATGCCAGTACAGAAGGCTATGTTTGTCAAGAACAAGGTAAAATGAATGAATAATATAGAATAAATAAATAATTTTGAAATATATAGAAAATAATCTAGAATTAAAAAAAAAAAAAAATTGATATAATAACCTATTTTCATATGTACTTGTGATTTATATGAAATGCTTTATTTAAAATATAACACATGTCCCATATTATGAAACGCATTGTAAGATACAATGTGTTGACATCAGAAAAAGTACCTGGACTAGCTGTGGGGGAGTCCATTGAGCGAGACTCACTGCTTCCTCCAGCACTTTCTGAGTCACTGCACATCCCCCCTCCACCGGCACTGCCTGAGCTCAAGGCCCGCTGGGAGCCCTGCGTCCTTAACACTACAACACACAGAATTAACCTCAGAATTACCTTTCATCTTTCGTCTAGGAAATCTTTATTGCTAAAACTGAGGGAGAAAATCCTGCGTGTGTTTGGGAGAATCAGTCTGTCTGCATGTTTCATTCAGTTCAGAGGAGGGCTGGGCGATATGGACAAAAAAAACCTATTGCGATTTCTTTGATCAATTTTGCGATTTCGATTTTAATCACGATTTTGACACACACAGACATGCTTTACAGTCATAAATGCATTCAGTGTGAATTTGAAACATATTTCCAAAAGAAAACCAATTTGAGCTTTATCAAGAAGCTGTAACATGTCTCTAGAACAGACATAAGGCAAAATAATCTCTAAGTAAAGGTGTAAAAAAATGTCTCTAGAATAGACATATGGCAGGAAAAAAAAAATCCCTCGTCCAGGGATTTTTTTTGCCATGCATTGGTCATAGAGCTCTTTGTGGCATTGCCTCAGATGTTGAACTAGATTTGTTGCGCCAAGTTCACACGTACTCCGTCTGCAGTGCGTATACAGTATGTGTATGCGGTGCAGAAGCAGCACGGACTCATTTTGCTTTCGCACAGGACGCGTTTGCAGTTCTGCGGCTGTTTACCACAAACACAACATTTATCCATTATTTTTATTTCAAATCCAAACGTTGTTTCTGAAAATGCTTTTTCAGCATTGTGATTCTCTTTTATCACAGTACAGTAACACAATCTTTCATAGACACATTCACGTTTAAACTCAATAAATATAACTTTGTTTAACTACCACCACGAGTGCCATCTATTATTGCGTTGTTTATCTAAAAGTGCACTTTTCCTTGTTTTAAATCTAGCCAAAAAGCCACGTGTTGACTGTGAAACAGTAGACTTTAATTATATGCATTTATGGTGTAATTACAAAATTCCCGTGTCAATCCATGTTCATTTTTACCACGAATAATGCACTGTCACTTCAATTCAGCACATGCAGCACAGCAGAAATAGACTCCGTGCGGAAACGATCACAGCATGACTGCTGCAGATGCACCGCTCCTGGAGCGCACTGCCGGACCGCAATCGCATGCAGTGTGAACGCTCTGATCCATTAACAATATCGCGATTTTATGACGATGTCGATTACACGCATAGCCCTAGTTCAGAGTTCTCATCTCTAAAAACATGAGAATTTTCCTTTTGTGCTCGATTCTTAGTTTAGTCATCTAGTCTAGATGCTGTATTAAAAATGAGCTCAGGCTGATAATGTCACAGCACAGGAGCTTTTTGGAAGCAGAGGCCGATCTGGGTTTGGGCCTAAATCCTGACAGCTGGCAGCTTTTGCCCAAGCTGTGGATGGCCAACGCTGGGTAAAAACCCACAGTGGACACGTCGAGCAATAAAACTAATAAGCTGTTCAGGATGTTGAAGCTTGCCAGACATATGTGCCTAATACTGTAGTGCCAAACATCTCAGGATCTTGTTTAAGTGCTGAGAAAATAAATGTCTTGGAGTCTAACAAACGCAGGTTGAGTAGGCTGACGTCACCCAAAGGCTTGTTCTATCTGCATGAGCAGCCTGACGTAGCAACTTTGGCTCAATGTGAGTTACAGTGAGTTAAGGGTGGGACTGTCTGTTTGTCCAAACAATGGAAATAGGGGAAATCTGCTTAAAAAAACCAGATATTATTGTTGTCATTCCACTTTCTGTCACAGAAATGGATCATTAAAAACCTATAAAGCTTTAGTCGTCAGACTAGATCCTTGGCGACTAAGATACATCTCTTACCTTGCATGTCTATACTGCTATTGGATCGTCTCTCAGCGATCTTGGCCTTGCAGGGTTGTATGGTACCCTCAACGTCATCTGCGCTGTGGTTATCTGCTGAAGTAACAGAGCCCTGTGACAGGTTCCCATGGGATGAGCGGGTGCTGCTCTGAGACCTCTTATGAAGGGACATTCTGGAAAGGAAAGACACTTGTTAAAACATGCTTTATTAAAATACCGCAGGCAAAACAGGCTGTGCAAAATCTCTGCTGATTGTGAAATGGGTTACTCAACAGGAAAGCGTGAGATTTGAATGCACTGTAAACAAAGGTGATAGCACTGACTGGCCAGTATGTTTGTACGTGGGTGTGATTCAGAGGTCAAGCTGAAAAGCAGAGTTTACACGGGGCAGCGATTATGGAGAGCAGAACCCTGGATAAACAACACGTTATCACCGACCGTGGTTTCGTTCATCATTCTTCCTGAGGAAGATCCAAACAATGCAGCCTTTCTCTGGCCCGCACGGAAACTTGAGTGTGGACTTACCCCGTTTTTGAGGAAGCTGTGATGTCCTGAGACAGAGACTCCAGCCACACACGCTCTTTAGGCAGGCTGCACACAAACTCAGAGTAGCGCTGGCCTGGCTCATACTTTTTGGCCTGTTCACTTAGAGCTTGGTAGTTGACTGACAGAGGTTGGGTCTGAGCCTGCTGCATCTGGAACCAGTTCACTGTCACCTGTAAGAGTTTGTGAGAATAGTCAGTACACAATAATGGTATTTATTTTATTATAGGTCAAAAGTTCGGGTTCAGTAAGATTGTTTATTATTTTTATTTTTTAAGAAATTAATTTAGCAAGTATGATCAAAAGTGCCAGTAAAGATATTTATTTATTTAAAAAAGCGCTGTTCTTTTGAAATTTCAATTCATTTCACGGTTTCCGAAAAACATTAAGCAGCACAACCATTTTCAACATTGATAATAAGAAATGTTTCTTGAGCAGCGAATCAGCATATTAGAATGATTTCTGAAGGATCATGTGACACTGAAGACTGAAGTAATGAATTCAGCTTTGTCACTGCAGGAATAAATTACATTTTAATTAACAGTAATAATATTTCACAATTTTACTGTATTTTTGATTCAATTCAAAAACATTCAATACTCGTACAGACCCCAAACATTTGAACTGCAGTGTAGTGTTGTTGTGACATGGTTACAGACCGATTTGAGGGTCAGGTCACATTGGAAGACCAGCTTCCGAATCTGAGCGAGGATCTCACTCTTAGTGTTTGACAGGCTGACCTTCTTCGCCTCTAGATCGGCCACACAGGCTTTATAGTGCTCCTGCGCTTCCTCTGCCTAGAGTCACCACAAAAACAGACGATCAGCCAAACAAAACAAAACAAAAGCATAGTGATTTTCCTTGCCTGTCTTAAGCCAAAGTGTGTCATTTCTGTGCCACCAGCGTCACCAAACAGGACTGCAAAAATGTTCCCTTTTATGAAGAAAATGCTCACTCATTTGCTAAGGTGTGATGCTATGTAGTTGCTGGGTGTCTGGGTTGTAATAGCAACAGTAATGTTTAGATTATATGACGAATTTTCAGACAGTATGTCAGGCTTTAAGGAAATTCAAACAAATTCCCAAAAACTTTTGTGTTTCTCGTCACCACTTTGAAGCCCAATAAACATAAGGGTGTGTGTGTTCGTGCAGTCTGTGATCATGTTGGAGTTGAATTTGAAGTTTTAAAATTCTTTATAGTGCAGTTTCTGCAGTACCTTCTGTAGGGCCTCTTCCTCCACCCTCCGTTTCTTCTCCAGAGTCCTGCCTCCTGCTGTTGGCTGCTCCTCCTCGGTGCGGCTGGTGGAGCTGCGTGCCTTCTCGTACTCCTCCCTCTTCTGCACCTTCAGCAGTCGAGCCTTCTTCAAAGCGCTCTCGGCCTCGCTCTGAAAACATGTGGGTTATTAAGCACTAGCGGTTCTAAAGAAATGTTAGTGATGAAATTCAAAGAATTCAAATAATCATATGTACCATTTTCTTTAACTCTCTTTGCCATTGTTCCTTTATCTCTTTCCTCTGCTTGTCCAGATCATTCTTGCGGGCCAGCAGTGGCTGTTGGAATTATGGGAATTTTGTGGAATTAAAGGAAATTATTTGTTAGTTAGATAAAAAATGTATAGCAGATTTATCTGATCATACCTGTATAAATTTGTTGGTTTGTAGAGCTGCAGCTGTTTGGAGCAGAGCCTGATTGTACTCAATCTCATTTTTAAAGGCAGAGACATAAATATCCCGGAAAGGCATGAAGTCCTTTAGAAACAGAGTCACAAAATAATGTCACTTAAAGGCCCAAAATCAGATACACTACCATTCAAAAGCTTGAGATCAATAAGATTTTTGAATGTATTTTTTAAAGAAGTCTCTTATGCTCACAAGGCTGAATTTTTTGATCAGAAATACATTTAAAAAAGAGCAATATTGTTCAATATTACTACAATTTAAGATAACTATATTCCATTTGAATATATTCTAAAACGTATTCCTATTAATTCCAGTGATGGCAAAACCAAATACTTAGAAGTCATTACTCCAGCCTTCAATGTCACATGATTCTTCAGAAATCATCCTAATATGCTGATTTGCTCCTCATTTGGTGCATTTCTTCTTATTATTATTGTTGAAAAGAGTTGTGTTGCATAATATTTTTATGGAAACCATGAAACATTTTTTTCAGGATTGTTCTGATGAATAGGAAGATCAGAAGAACAGTATTTATTTGAAATAGATATACATTATGAATTTCTTTACTAACAAATTTTATTCATTTTATGTTCTTGTCAAATAAAAGTATTAATTTCTTTCAAAATTCTTCCCAAAAATGTAAATGGCAGTACATCATATACATCACATTTAATCAAAACAAAAGACCATCACCTGCTGACTTGCCACTGCCTTTGCGGATTCTGCCATCTTGGCAAAGCTTTTGGCACATTCCATGTCTGTCAAATACAGAGATACCATATGAAACACTAAAGTTCAACAATGAAGACTCAAAACAAAAGATCGGGCTTTAAGAATGGACTGACCCAGACTGAGGCGTTTCTCCACCCAGGCCAACATGTCTTTGGTGTATTTGGACCAGGCCTTGGCGTAGAGCAAAGCCGACTCTACTCCACTGTCATTCTTCAGCAGAAGGAGGTCCACCTGCCCCACGGTGGACAGCTCTGGGGACAGAGCAGGATCTATAAACCCAGAACACTGCATATGAACACGAACACCCCCCCCCCAAAAAAAAATAACACACAAACACTCCACATTGTTTAAAAAAAAACTGCTGAAAATACACAGAGGTACCCTTTGAAGACATTTACATTTCCTCAACCTCAGTCTCTCCACTCTCTAAAACTGTCATTTAAAATCTACTTTTAAATATTACCGCCCTACAGGGTTTATAAGCCAAAAGTTACAAGGCAAATTTTACAAGTCAGCTTTATTAAAAGCAGCGACAGCCCTTAAATTGGTGACAAACTTGCTTTTAAGAGGAATAAACATATACCATCCCATTGACTTAAAAGAAAAAGAGGTCTTTCTAAAACTGACACTAATCTGTGGTAGCATTAGATGTGTGTACATCTCGTAAAATCAGGTCATCTTGTAAAACCTGTGCTTTAACCTTTGCCAAATGCACTGACACGAAACTCAGCTGTGCCGAATCCAAGCACCTCGCCCAAAAAGCCACATGTGGTTCCCATTCCTCATACAAACGACCAAAAAAAACCCAAAGAATGTCAACCATTTGGCAAACAAGAAGAATGTTAGACTATATGAAAAACAACACAAGTGTGAAGGTACAGGGTGTGTAGAGCTCTCTTGTTGATTATGACCTATGTCAGTGCAGCTCATCTGTCTCTCTGCTAGAACAACACTTTTCATGTGTGGTTTGCTTAACTAGAAAACTTTGTTGAAGTTTGCATTACTGTTGCTCTGAGGCACACACAATATGTGATGAGATTCTCTTCAACACCTCAGTTGCAAGAGCCTGCTTGCTTTGTGATGAAAACCGTGCTAGAAGGATGGAAGACAAAAAGGAGAAGGAAAGGAAATCCATTTACCTGCCAGATCATTTTGATGGCAGACTCCTGAATCTTCAGAGAGGTTTTCAAAAGACTAGAGGAGAAAAAGAGAAAGACGTTTCACACAGGACGAGAAGTTTGATGACAGAAGTGAGGGATGAAAAGGTGCTTCTCTTTTACCTTGTCTCTCAATGTCTCAGTTAATCAAAGCTTGAAAACCATGCTCTTTAAATCACAAGGGCCAGCCTGGTTTCATTATTTTCAAAGCAGAGCTCTAAACTTAAAGGGATGGTTCATCAAAAAATGAAATGCCATTATTTACTCACACTTGTTTTAAAAATATGTTAGTTATTTTTCTGTGGAACACAAAAGGATTCTGTAGAAGCTTCATGCATCTTTTTTTCTATATGACAGTTCATAGTAACCGCATTTGTCAAGCAGCAAAAAGGAAATAAAAATCATGCAAATGCCATAAAACTAAGCCAAACTACTACTTTTATTCAGCAAGGACGCATTAAATTGATCATAAGTGACAGTAAAGACATATATAATGTTACAAAAGTATTCTATTTCAAATATATGCTGTTTGATCACTCTATTTATCAAAGAATCCTGAAAAAATATTCAAAAATATATCAAAAATATTAAGCGGCACAACCGCTTAAACCACAGAGCATCACAGGAACAAATGACATTTTAAAATAAATGTAGCCTTGGTGAGCATAAGACTTCTGTCAAAAACATTAAAAACATTTCTAATCTTACAGACCCCAAACGTTTGAATGGTGGAGTATTTCAAGCCTTCTGAAGCCATATGATACTGTTGTTTATAAATAGAGAATACTGGCTTAAATTTCAGTCTGCTTTTCACATAAAGCTATTGCATGGCTCCAGAAGGCATGGAATACATTTAACAGTGCTTTGTATTGGCAGACGTGAGGTGAGTATATAATGACTTTTTTGTGAACTAATTTTTCAAGGACCTTTGAAGGTCATGGAGGTGATTAACTTACACGACTTCTTCTGGCTTGGGGGTACCCCAAGCTGGAGCCACTGTCCACATCTTCCATAAGGAAGTCAGACACTCTGAAGTGGAAAAGAAAGACAAGTCACTGCACATAACATAACTTGAACATACATAATAAGGTTAGAATATTATGGTGTTATTTTTCATTACAAATAGCTCATTTTAAATCAAGAATGTGAGCAGTATTAAGGGTTAGTTCACCCAAAAATGAAAATTCTGTCATCATTTACTCACATCATTCCTAACCTGCTTGACTTTTGTTTATCTTCGAATCACAAATTAAGATACTTTTAATATTCTCTGATCCTTTTGTCTAACAACTGAAAACATATAAAATATGGTAAACAGAAGCTCAAATGTACTTGCTTGACGTGTGAGAACCAATAAGATTTGTTCTCGCATTTCACACAAGCATGGTTGTGCTTCTGCTGACCATATTTGATGAGCTCTATGTATGTACGTTGATCAATGTTTATAGGTGAATTAATGGCTAAATTAAATCTGTTCATCATATAAAGCGATCAAGTCTCTTTGGTGGACTTCTTAAACCACTTGGATTTATATGGATTATGATGTCTTTATGAACTTTTAAAGTGTCAAAGTTGTGGTTGCGTGGAATTTCAAGGGAGGGACTGAAATCTCTCGGATTTGTGTTTTAAGAATCTCTTATGGGTTTGGAACAGCATGAGGATGAGTAATTGAATTTTCATTTTAAGTAATGTTGCAACATGACACAAGTACATTTCATCAGCAATTCAGAGTGACAACAGAATGCACAGCTGATGAATACAGTAAAATTGGCCATGGAAACTGAAAGTTACTCTATACAGACGGAGAGCATTCAGAATATACATATGACTACAGAATAGAGAGCTATGGTACTCACACATTGCCAAAGGTGAATGCCAAAGTATCGATTGATGTGTGTATCTCGCCAAATATTGTGTCTTTGTTTTCTTTATTGACTTCCTTGACGTTCACGCCTGTGGGAAGTGATTGACCACATGAGAAGTGTCGCCAAACGGCACAAAAGTCTGCACCAAAATTACAATTCTCAACAAATGATGATGAGCAGCATGTCTCTCTCTCTCTCTCTCTCTCAAAAAAGAAAAAAACCCTCAAAAGCATTTTCTGCATCATTGGAAATAATTTTTTTCTGAAAATATCTAAGAATTATTCTTACCATATACTAGTGGCAGAAGTACCTCATGCAGGAATCACTTTTTCAGGTGCAATGCGTCATAAGATAGGATAAAATACCTGAGATAACAGAGTCTCCTTAGATCAGGAGCAAAGATAAAAATACAGCGAGTCATTGACTCACTCTAGACAAGGGCGGGGGAAGAAAGAATTTCAATAACTTGAGACACTTGACACTTTTATTGCTGCGCCCCTGAGCGATTCTTCAGCAAAACTATGCAGCGTTTTTTTTTTTAAATTTGTAAGTGTAATCGGTATTAGGTATAATAAGAAGACTTGTTAAATATAATTATAATAAACAGCTACAGTAATAGTACTATAGTGAATATTAAGTCAAAGACTAGTTTCTTTTTGTGTTATGTGATAGGTTTGATTTTGACATTGGTGGGGAAATAAAGTATAAGCAGCCCAGTATAAAGAACAGTCAAAATGTTTGTGCTGTTATTTAGCCTATGTGTATAATATATATATATGTGTGTGTGTGTGTGTGTGTGTGTGTGTGTGCGTGCGTGTGTGCGTGTGTGTTTTATATATATATATATATATATATATATATATATATAAATACAGTATATATATATATTTTCCAACCAAAATCACTGTCGTTAGCCATTAAGCCACATTAAGCATTATCTCCTTTTTTAAAAGATGAATGCAACATCCAAAGTGTTTCTTTTTAGAGGTGATCAAATATTCATCGCTTGAAACAGATGGAAAAAATTACATGCCTGTGCTGCAGTTCTATGAATGTTTTGCCTTTCAGCACTCCACGCCAGTAACGTGTGAATACATACACAAACAATGAAACAGACCGTTTTTTAAAAGATAAGATCAATTCTAAGCTGTTGATTCTTAATTGGGGTGGAGCTGAAGGAGGATGCTCACCTTTGACTTTGGCGATGACAGTGCCTGTAGCACCAAGAATTTCTGACGAGTTCAGTGCCTGGTGCTTGCCAATGACGGTCTTCAACACACGTGCCAGCTCCCCAAGTCGCTCGTTGACCACGTGCTGTGAGCACTCTTGGTTTTCTGTGGGTGACAAACATACAGACAGAGACCACAATGTCATCAGCTCAACTTCCTCCACGGGTTTTTGAAGATGCACACATTTAAAACAATATTGGTGCAGAAGCAACATCGAAAGGTTTAAAATTTTTAGTCAGTTTAAAGATACCCTTGTAAAACCTCCTCAAAGTGCACATTAAATGGCATGTGTGACACTAATACATCCTAACAGCACTCTTGTTCTGTGACGGTGCATGCCCATGTGGTTAGAGATGATGAGCAGAGTATGAGGCTGCACTTTGGCTGAGATGCAGATGCTGCTTTGTGCACTCGAGAGCTGGCCGACAGCAAGATAAGAAAATAACTCTGAGACAAACATAACAACAGCTATGCACACCTATCCATACGTGCGATAACAGATTTTTTTGTATGAGAGAGACAGAGTGTGGTACTTCATTACAATTAAATAATGTTCTTTTGAACTTTCTATTCTTTAAAGAATCCTGGAAAAAAAGTATCATGGTTTCAACAAAAATATTAGGAAGCACAACTGATTTAACATTGAAAATATAAAAAATTTCTAAAGGATCATGTGATCCTGAAGACTGGAGGAAATTGCTGCTGAAAATTCAGCTTTACTGTCACAGGAATAAATTACATTTAATCATATTAAAATAGGTTATTTAATTGTTAATGTGCCCCTACTATGCCATTTTGAATATTGCCTTCCATGCAGTGTGTAATGTAGCTGTATGTGAATGTAAACAATCTGCAAAGTTGTAAAGCCAAAAGTGCACAATAAATAAAGTTATTGTCTCCCAAAAGAAAGAATTGACTCTGAAAAGCCTAAACGAGTCGTCAGTAATATGAATCCCACTTCTGTGACGGCTACACATCACAGGATACTACATTTGCATAATGCTCGCCTATGTTCTACATCGGCCGGCCACGAATAACTTGACCTCCCCTAAAACACTGTAGCTTGTTCGTGTCGAGGAGACACTGTGTCCAACGCTGTGAAAGTACATTGTTTTATTTTCACTTCTGAAAGATGAGGCTGTCAGCGGTGTGTGGTTCAAATTAGAAGTCGACTGATGTATCGGTTTTGCCGATTAATCGGCACCAATAGTTGATTGCTGGAACTATCTGCAAAAATCCATCCCGATAGATTTTTAGGGTTGCGTCTGTTGCTGGAGTGGCTGAGAAGGTCCGCTGTCATCATACAGTACGAGAGCGAGAGCGGCCTCTAGAGGCGGAATCACTGACACCACGTGCTGTTTGTTTTGGCACGTGATACTGCACGCTGCACAGAGTGGGTCACTTCAGACGTGCAGATTTAAGGATTTAAAGCAGACAACCTAATGGTGTGGATACAGTACACTATAGTGCATTTTTTCATATCATTACTAAGTAATTCATTTGTTGACTAGATGCCGCATTAGTGGAGAAAGAACAGCAGTATGTTTGTTATCAATGCTGAGAGGACGCAAACATTAGCAGCACCTCAAATGGTTAAAACAACCAAAAAAACACACACAAGTCCGACCCAGATGCTTAATGTCACGATTGTTACCATCTATTTGCATTAGTTTATATCCAGCTGGTCACATTAATGCATTTGTTAGACAGCAAAGTTGCAGATTTAAAGCTTTGATGTGAGAAAGCAAACTGATGTTCATTCAGCCGACAGAAAATCTGCCATGCCGTAGAGCGCCATTCACACAGTTTTCCATTAAATTATATTATATTTGTCATAAATCGTTATCAATGTACATAATGACTTCACTCTGGGCTGGAAGATTGTGTATTGTGCATTTTTCAGCAAAACGTTTGGCTCTAATAAAGTCTGTATGCTTCATATAGAGAGCTATAATATAGATTGCGCTGTTTCTTTCCATTTTGCTCTTTTTTTTTTTTTTAAATACCGAACTTCAAAGTCAATATGCCACTTTTTTTGATCATTCTTGAAGTGATTCAATAAAACTAGACTGCTGCTTGAACTAAACACGACACGTCTGGTGTGTGTGATACCTGTGAGTTTGTCTGCACGGCGCTGCGCATTTTGCCTGGTATGCGGCTGCCATATTTTTTTATTTTGATTAGAAAATCATCACGTGTTAGAGTGTGTTAATTTCAACATCTACTAGCCTAATACATTTTTACATTTTGAAGATGCTTCTGTTAACATTAATGAACTATGAACTAACTTTAATGATCAATGTACTGTATAATTAATATTTAATATTAATATTTGTATTTATGTACAAAGTATGGTTCAGTACTTTTTTTTTAATAGCAAAGCACTTTTTTAGTTTTCGTTTAGTATCCATTTTATCCATCGGTTGATTAATCGGTATCGGCCAGTGTGGTCCAACCTTGCTATCGGTATCGGTAAAATCCACTATCGGTCAACCTCTAGTTAAAATAGATTTTTTTTCCACTGTACCACAGCAGTACAAGCCCAATCTTTTTTTGTGTTCCCATAATTTTATTGAAGACTGCTTCTCTAATCTTGAGCCTCTTTCACACATAGATTCCGGAAAATATGCGGATAATGTGGCAAGAGTTTTGTCCCAGGATCTTTTGATTTTAGTTCATTCACACTGCCAGTGATTTTCCGGAATCTGTGTATGCGTTCACACGCATCCCATAAAGATCCCATAAAAACATGTGACATTACGATGTGACGTGTAATGTGATGCTTACTGTTCCACAAAGTTGGCGAACCATCTCAGCTTTAGCGCGGATAGTGAGGAGCTCCCTGATCGCTGCTTCATTTCAGTTTGCACTTGTTTTTTTTATCGTGAACATTGATCTGCCTTCAAAACACCTGGTAAAAGAGTCGCACGATAACGTGCGTCATCATTAGGACACACCCTTTACGGCATTGGTCCTGGCTTTTGTTTAGACAGGGATCGTTCCGGGTCCCAATTCCGGGACTTGGTTGTTACTAGGTCCCAATTCTGGCCTGGGATCATTTCCGGGATCAATCCCGGGACGTGTTTGCGTTCACACAGAAGACACTCTGGCAATTTCCATGATTAACGCTCAATGTGAAAGGGGCTTTGGGAAGTTCAACGTGGGATAACATTTCCGAAACACGCTGTACGCGGTAGACCAATTACAACAGACTGGGCCATCTGACCAATCAAAGCAGAGTAGGCTCATGGAAAGGAACAGAACTGCTTTGAACTAATCATTTCAGAATCTTTGGAAAATTAGGTGATATTAAATTCATATTTTGAAAAAACAACAGCGTTTTTTGACCTTGCATGCATGTAAACCTATTGTAGGAGACTCCCAAAACAATACTAGGAACCTTAAAAATGCCATAATAGGGGCACTTCAAATTAAATTGTAACAATATTTCATAACATAACTGTTTTACTGTAGTTTTTTTGGAAACACTGAATGAAGCTACCTGAATGTTTTTGGGAAATAACAAGTGTGCCTGTGTCACTACTTCCATATTTCTAAAATAAGCAGAAGTATGCAAACAACTTTAAAATCAATGTGAAACCCCTTTTAATGTTAATCCACTTCTGTAATGCAAATTCAATTGAAACAGGATATTAAACAAGAAAAAAATGCAGGGTGGGACTTTTATCCACTGGGAATTGACTGTGACTGAATGAAAAGTGGACTTTCCATACCAGAATGGAGCCAGATCAAATGATGGCTAAAGGGCTACATTTATCTTTTAACCTCATAACATCATAATCATCAAATATCAAAAGTCCATGTAGCCTAAATAAAGGTCATCTGTAGAGAAAATAAAGTGGTCACCTCTGATTTCATGTTTACTTGAAAGGCTGCCAGGTTTGCTGTAACTAAATGACAAAACGTTCAGTTATTTAAACCAAAACTATTCACACCAAATTTGCTCAGTCTGAAAAAGGTTGTATGTGAATTGCTAGAATCCAAACAAACACCTAGCCTTCAAATAACCAAATAGGTTTCAAATATTAATTATACAATTTTGAAGTTTTAAAATATTATTGTACATGTTTTTCAAACTATAAATAATTAGTATCAATGTAAACATTAAGATAAAAAATGTTTGTTTACACCACGTGAACCCATAAACGAACACCACAATCTCTCTTGTTTGCATTAGGATGAAGTGGACAGTCGTTTGGCTGTGTGTGCAGGGGATGACTTCATATCTAACTGGATGTTGCAACGGGTTCAAAGAGTTTTGATAGCAGGAGCATCTGTTTTTTATCATTTCTGTGCAGATGTACATCATGCCACAAGGATGAGACAGAAGCTTTATGAGTGCAAAGTTACAATGTGGAAGGTATGTGTTTTAGTGGGCAATATGCTCCACAGTCATATCATCCTATCGTCAGCCTGTGAGATCGCCGATACACAAACTTATCATGCTAATTTATTTAATGATTTACTTACTTAGTTTCATAGCCGGAGAGTGGACCAACTCCAGGGTAAGGCTAAAAGCAGCCTAATGTTAGGATGTCATGTCATAAAATGTTTTTAATATGACTGAATTTGTATTTAACATGATTTAAACAATTTAAAAGAAACACTGTAAGTTACTAATTATAATGCTTACATTTCCTCCGTTATTCAAACAGCAGCAACAGAAAACGAGCAAAGAACTTTAAAAAAACACTCCCGTTATAATCAGTGAAGCTGTCTCCACTGTATGGTGAATTAATCTCTTATACTTACAATGCATGTACATCTGCACTTTGTTGCTTATGATGAGAGAATTTGCGAGAGAAAACAACAAAACTTCAGTGATGAAATATGATGGAACAAATACTAATTAGATAGCATTACTAGCCTGATAATAATAATAATAATAATAATATTAATAATAATTGTCTTGCTATCATCAAATGCATCAGTCACAGGCGATATCTCTGACTATCATCGATACTCGATACTATTGTCTATCGGCACAACCCTAATGTGTGAGTTTGATGGCAAAGAAAGAGGATCACTTCTCCCACTATAAAGAAAAAAGGAAGAAAAAAATAGTACTTCTGGCCAATGAGTTT